AGAGAGCGGATGCTGGAAGGGAGAGTGAGCTGGGTCTGACCAGGGTTTTTCCCATTGTTCCTCTCCCACTTGCAGGCTTTAAGGTCTAGGAAGCTGCAATTCTGGGCTGTGCCCCTCACTCCCATGCTCAATAGCTACAGATGCCCCATTCCTTCAAGAATGTGTCCAATCCCTTTGTGAATCTGGTTAAACTCTCAGTGTCCACCACATCTGGTGGCACAAACGCCACACTTTAATGTCCTGCTGGGGGGAAAAGAATGTCCTTATGTTCATTTTCAATGGACTCCCTACTAGTTTCATCCTGGGACCCCTAGTTCTTGTATAGGAAAACACAGTAAATAATAAATCCTTACTGACTTGCTCTTCCCCAATTTAGTATCTTGTAAACCCTCATGTCTCCACTCAAGCATCTCTTTTCTAAATTAAATAGACCTGGCCTCTTTAGTCTCTTCTCATGTGACACTCATCCTTGGTGCCTTTCTCTGGATGTTCGCTAGTACTTCTATTTCCTTCTTGAGATGCGGGAACCAGAACTGGGCACAATCTTCCAGGTGTGGAGGCACCATGGATTTATAAAGGGGCATCCTGATACTTTCTGGTTTGCTCACAGTTCCCTTCTTAATAATCCCTAACATTTTGTCTGCCTTTTAGACAACTGCTGGGTGCTGAGTTGATGTTTTTAGCAAACTGTTCAGAATTCCCAGATCTCTTGGCAACCAGAGCTACCCCCTTATGGCTCCTAGTCATCTTATGACCCACTATAACTCCCAAGTCCCTCTCTGCAGCACTGCAACCCAGCCAGCTATTCCCCCATCTGCATTTGCATGTGCAATTATTCCACCCCAAGTGCATGACTTTGCACTTGTCCTTATCGAGTGAGGACCATTTCTCCAGTCCAGCCAAGTCCTTCCGGATCATAGCCCTGCCCACAGTATCTGCACCTCCATCCAACTTGGGGTAATTCACAAATTGCTAAGCATGCTCGCAATCCCATCATTCAAATCATTAATGAAGATATTGAGCAACAGCAGACCCAGAACAGACGAATGGGGAACCCGTGTGATGCCTCCTTCCAACTAGACATTGAGTCACTGATGACTATGTGATGATCCCACCACTTATGTAACCATGTTACGCTCTTTTGTCTCTAGTTTCCATTTGTTAGCTCATTAGTGAGAATGTCGCATGGGGCACAGCCAAGACTGAGACACCATATGGGTCCCGGACTTTCACACACCCCTGAGCCTTGGAGACCACAGCCATGATCCCCAGGGCTCAGGAGTTTCATGCTGGGCATGAAGCATCCCTGTGGCCAGGAGACCTGCCAACTGATGGGGCTCTCACCTGCAGGGGAGACCCTGCTACACATGTAAATTTATGCTCAATAGTAACCAGCTAAAACATTAGTACACAATTTTAAGGCTTAACTTTCTAGCTGGTTAGAACTTTTTATTGTGTGATAGCTACTTGGCACATGTAGCTGGTTTTAAGGTAATTGGATAATTAAACAGTTAATTGTGTGATACCACAGGGTCCAAAAGCCTTGCTAAAGTCAAAGTCTATCACATCTATGACTCTCCCCATATCCAGAGCCTGTCATCTTATCATGGAAGGAATCATGTTAGTCAAGCATGATTTGCCCTTGGTGAATCCATGCCAGCTACCTGTGATCACCTTGTTATTCTCTTCACACTCCCTACCCTGTTCTCCTAAATATCATTCCCATTTACACTTACCTGGCATCAAGTGAGATTCAGTTAATTACAATATTTTAGAATTTCCCATCGTTTCACACTAAGTTAGCTACTTGTTGGCTGTAATTAGCGGAAGTATCAAATGTGCTCTCAATTCAAGTTTCTCTCTGCCCTCTTCAAACAAATGAATCCTTCAAATACGTGACCATTACTTCCTGAAGAATGAATGCCCTGAACCTAAAGCTGGTATAAATCAATCCCAACCATGCATGCAGTCCAACAGAAGATATCACCCATGGAAATCCCTGCCTCTTGACAGTTACCTGCCTATTCCATTGACCAAGTATTTCATGTGGTGGTCTAGCACCCCCTTGTGTCCTTTCAGCTAAATCATTGTCCCCAGCAGTTATCAGGGGCATTGAAAATCCCCCAGTCCTACTTCAAATTCAGGGATATTGATGTTACCAGGTGAAGGACAGACCCTTATCAGCCCCTTCTTGCTAGAGTAGACCTTCACACACACACACACACACACAGACACACACACACACACAACTCTCCCCTGTCCTCTCCGCCCCCCCTCCCCACCCCAGCACTGTTATTTTCACCCCAGATCCACGATGGCAGGAGGTGGTGAAAAAGCTTTCCATAAATCTAGAATGGATATATTAGTCCGGTTCTGATACACAGAGCGTGGCACTTCCCGGGTCACTCACTCTTGAACAAAGAGGTCCTCTGATCTTTGAAATGGCGAAAGAGTTGTGAAATTGGAGAAGAAATTGAAGTTGCAGAGAACAAATTTCCCCCTAAACAAGGTTAGCTTCATCAGTCAAGAGCATTAAGAAGGAGAGAAAAACATTAGCACCTTACACCTGTGAAGTGAAGAACAATGGGCCATTGATTCCTTCAGTAATAAAGCAAGGTAGAGTTGCACCTTTATAAACTCATTAAATAAGACAAATATGCATAGAGAGAGAGCATAAGCTTTCCAAATATATATATAGAGAGAGACAGACAGAGCACAAGCCTCTTTCAATCTTATTTCATCTAGAACCTGACATCTGACTGACTTCAGGCTCTCATGGCTAGGTACCTTTTCCCTTTCTCTGCACCCTTCATGATTTCACAAAAATCAGCACCCACAAAAACAGGGAATCCTCTGTCTGACCTCATCCATGGGGAGATGGGGGCAAGAAAAACACCTGAAGCACATTCATCAAGAACAACCTTTACTAAGAGGGACAGGGAAAAATATCATATCCGAAATATATGGAAGGACACATCATTATCAATCCACTGCCGACAGGTCAGGGCACAGTGCTGGAGCCCTGTCATGCTGGAGGTCTGGAACTTGTAGCCACGAAGGTGTTGTAGGATGTCCCCACATTGAAGAGGATGAAAGGAGATGCCGAATGCACTCTCTCTCAGTGCTGTTCCCATGGGAAGGACCTAGAGATGGTGGAATTGCAGGGTGGGATGGGAAGTATACCACCGTTTCCCGATGCCAACTGTGGGGAGTCCGTGGGTGCCCGTTAGTAATGCAGATGGGAAGAGACAACAGTGTCCTAGAAGTAGACCAGGAGGGTGACTGCCTGCCTGAGCCCAGGGAGAAGGTGGATTCCTGGGTGTCCCTCCCAGCAGGCAGGTGGGGACTGGGAGGTATCAATGGGGCACCACCTTGGAGGCCTGATGGCTCAAGGGAGGCTTTGTGAACCTGACGTTGGGGACCTTGTTCTGTGCATCCCGGGACAGCAGGGCCCTCATGGTGAGGCACAGCTTGGAGAAGGTGCGCTGGAGGCAGCTCAGGAAGCGGTGGCACAAAGAGACCTTTTCTCTGGGCACCGATGGGGTCCTGGTCTGGGGTTTCTTTTCTTTGGTGGCCAGGAGAGAAGTGGCTCCATCCATCTGCCAGGGGAAATCTGCAGTGCTGGTGCTGACAGAGACAGTTTGGGGTCGTTCATGGGGAGCTCTCCTCAGCCTCCTGTCCTGCCTCTTGCTCCCTCCCTCCAGGTGCTTCTGGTCCAGACTGGAAGGACCCAAGGGGTCCCCTGGAGATGAGCACTGAGGCTCTTCAAGGTGTCCCCAGAAACTGCCAAGGCCCAAAGAGCCACCTGGCTTCCTCTGCTGCTTCTTGCTACACATTTGACAGACCCCATCCGGGGCTTGGGATGTGCGGAGCCAGACATTTGTGGCATCGTCCACCCCCTGCTCAGATGCCCCTACCTTCGCCTGAAACTTCACCCCCTTCCATGTCCCCCGGGAGCCCCCTGTGGGCGGCCCCTCCTGAGCTGGCCCGCCAGGGGCATCTAGCCTGTAGCTCAGGCTCATCCGGTGGCACTGACCTGGCCTTGAGCCTGGACATCCACCTGGGTGGAGAAAGCAGCTGGCACAGGCTGGCACAGGGCCTGGTGGGAGCAAATGGCACTGACACACTGGGGGCACTGCTTCTTCAGCAGGTCAGCAACAAACTGGAGCTGCAGGTCATGAGCACTGAGAGAGGTCAGGATGGAGCCCAGGAGCTGCGCCAGGTCAGAGGGCTCTACATGGTCTGGCCTGGGTCCAGGCCTGGCTGCCCCCACAGGGCACTTCTTGGTCCCTCCCTCCTTCCACGGCCAAGGGCCTGGCCCTGCACCCCGTCCCCTCTCCCTGGGGAGCCTGTTGGTGTCTCCGGGGGAGCCGGCTAGGCTTTCTCTTGCCACAGTCCTCGAGCTGCTAGCATGGGCTGCTTTTCCCTGCTGGGGCTGGCTGGAGCCAGGGGGTCTCCCCTGACTGGGCTGCACCCCGCTTCCCCCACCAGGCTTGTGGATTGACTTGGGGGGCAGCACAGAGGCTGGTCGGTGCCTGCACGCAGGCATGGAGGTCTGGGATAATGGGACATCGGTCCCCGGGGATATCTCTGAGCCTGGGGGCAGCTGGGAGACCAGTTGATCCCGTTCCCAGTTGGTCTCAAGGCTGCTCTGCTGGAGGCCCCTTCCTGCACCATCCATGGAGCTTGTTGAGGCCTTGGGGCTTCTTGCCATGACCCTTGTGATCTTCTGGAGCATGCCCTTACCCCTGAAGCTCCTTCAGGCTGCAGCTGGCACCAAGCTGCCCAGAGTCTCCTGGCCAGACCGCACGGGCTGGCTTTCCCTCCAGGCCACAGACGCAGGGGAGGTCAGGTGCCTGCCCACCAAACTGATGCAGCTCTCGGCTCCCAGCTCCCACTGGCTGCCAGCTGGGTGCCCCCCTCTGCCCTCTGGGGTGCCAGGCAGGGGGCAGCTGGGTGCCTTTCCTGGACTGTTCCAGGCTCCGCCACTCCCTTCCTCCACAGTGACCTCTCACCCAGGTGGGAAGGAGGCATCTGATGCTGCTGGTTGCACCTTCATTGGTGGTGCCCCACAGGTGGGACAGGTCCTTCTTTCCTGGGTCAGTCTCTGCCCCTGGGGGCATTCGGCAAGAGGCCGGGCCTGGCTCCTCAGTCACCTCCTGCAGCCGCTTCCTTTGCGAGGTGCCGCTTCAACGCCTCCTGGGAAGCACAAACATCCTCAGACGGGTCTGGGACCTTGGTGCTGGCTTCCCCTGGCAACATGGTTGTGTCTGCAGGATCCTGCTTGCTCGGAGGCTCTGGGGCCAGGAGGTGCAGCTTCCACTGCAGGCTGATGCACCCCAGTGGCCTGCAGGGTTCGGGGGGTGGTGGCGGTGCTCTGGGCCCTTCTCTGGCTCAGCTGCGCTGCAAGGCTTCCCCTGAGGATGGGCCTGGGTGGCTGAGGGAGTCTCTTTCCCACACGGAGCCATCCCCTGGGACCCGCAGGCCGGTGGCGGCTGTGTCTCTGGGCTCCCCTGCTGGAAAGAAGGCTCCAGACTGGCGTCAGCATGGGACGCGGGTTGGCCCAGGTCGGATCCAGGCTCCTCTGTCTTCACGGCCTCGGCCTCCTCACGCTGTGGCGGCTTCTCAGGCAGAGCGGGCAGCGGGTGCGAGACCCACAGGGCTGCACGGGAATCCCGAGGGGTGCACAAAGGCAGCGTCAGGGTCCTCCATTTCCTCGGGTTCCTCGGAGATCCAGGATGGTGCAGGACATGCAGGTCTGGACCTGTGGCAGAGAGGAGACAGGGTGGCAGGGCACGTCCACTCCTCCCCACCCCACATGGTCCAGTCCCTGGGGGACGTGGGGCTGGGCTGTGTCCCCCCAAAGACCGCAGAAAACATGGCTTCCAGGTCCCCTCTGGAAACAGGCCACAGGGCCCCCTCAGAGACACCCCACACCTTCTCCACTCAGCTCTTACGGGATCACATTGCTCATCAGGTGCCAGGTCATGTGCTGGAGCCTCCTTTCCACCAGCTGCAGTGTGTGCTCAAGGCTGCGCCTGGGCCCAGGCATGGGGCAACTGCAGGACAAAGAGGAGGGCATCTCATATGGCTGCATTGCCCCTTCCCCTCCTCCCTTTCCTGAGCTAGCCCCATCCCTGGCAGAAAGGGGCCCCTCAGGCCCCGGGAGGCTGCAGGGGGCATGGGGCAGTGCTTGCTGTGTGCACTGGGGTGGCGGTGTCTCCTCCACATGTCCCCAAGCTGCTGTAAGGGAGAGAGGAAGGAGCTGGCGTGGGCCTGGGGAGACTCTGCCCCTCCCCAACTGGCACCCCCAGCCTGTAAGCGGGGCCTCGGCTGCTCCTCCATGGCTCCTAGGAGGCAGGGCGCCATGCTCTCTCCTGCCCCAGCCCCTGGCCAGGGCCCGAGGCTACTCACCTCCCAGCTTGGCTCTTCCCAGTATCTCCCTCAGCCTCCTCATCCTCCAATGAACGCTCTGCACACACAGAGAGCAGCGGGTTAGAGGGCAGCTCCCTGGACCCCACAGGGCAGGAGAACTGGTCCCCACACGGCAGGTCCCACCATCCCCACGGGGATGTCCCTGCCTTGGGCACCCTGAGCAGAGGGACAAGACCCTCTAGCCAGGAGCCTGCAGCTGTTGTCCAAGCAGGAGCACTGGCACAGCCCTGTCACCATCCCTGGCCTCAGTTGCAGCCAACACCCAATGCCTCTAAAAAAGGTTTTTGTTTTGTTTTGTTTGGGGTTTTTTAAAGAATTTTTTCATGTCCCGAGCCAAATCAGCCAAATCAAGTCTAAATTCATGAGTCAGTCCAAACCATAAGTGGCCCTACAACTGGCAAACATCCTCCACCCCCGCCAGGGGCTTCAGATATTTCCAAAGTCTTTTGGCAGGCATCCTACGTGCAGGCCCAAGCCCAGAGACCTGGTGTTAAGAAGCCCCCAAGTTTCGCCTGCCCTCAGCCATACAGCTGCAAGCTAGGGAGGAGCCTCCCATTTCCAGAAAGTGGGATTTAAGCCCCAACACGGAGGCGGGTACTAAACCACGCCAGAGGAACAGTTAGTTATCCCCAGGAACACTCAAGGAAACTGCCTTAATTGACCCAGATCTATGGTGTTTCCCCTGCCTCTAAAAGAGGTTTAAGAACATCCTGACACATGGAGCAGAAAGGAGAGGAGGAAGCTACCTTCCAGGCCGACCTCTCTATGTTTTTCATGAGCTTCCTCTTCTTCAGTACCCTTCCTAGCATCCACCTCATTGGTTTTGAGACGCCAGAGGAAACATCTTTGACCTTCCTACTCTATAGCCAAGAATAGCTCCAGCTTCTCTGAATTTATCCAGTCCCCTGCTGAATCCAGTTGTGCTATCTCCACCACTTCCCATAACAATAAATGCCACCCGTTAATGTGTTGAGACAAAAAAATCCTTTAGCTTGTTAGTTTTAAACCTACCACCTACTAATCTCAGCAGGTGCCCCCAAGGCCTAGGACTTGGTGAACAACGGTTCCCTGTTCATTTGGTCCATACCTCTATCCTACCCCCACTCAGCCTTCTGATTTGCAAGGAGAAGGGTCTGAGCCTTTTTAATCTCTCCTGGTATGGCAACAGTTCCAGGCCCCTGATCCTTTGGGCTGCCCTTCTCTGAACTTCTTCTAATTGTACCGCATCCTTTTTGGAGATGCAGGAACCAGAATGGCACAAGGGTTAAGATGTGGGAGTCCCACTGACATGTATAATAGCATAACAATGTTCTCTGGTTTGGTTTCTATTCTTAATGTTGCCCAATATTATTTTGGCTTTTTAGGGTCACTGCTGGATACGGGACTGATTTCCTTTCCCAGGGAGCACCAACCTCTGGTTTGGAAAGGAGAAAGTTAAGGAGAGAATAGGATAGAGGTCAACACAATCAGGAAGGACTGGGACCAAAGGAATAGGCTGGCCTGGGTGTGCAGAACTATTATCTGCAGCTGGTGGTAATGTCCTCAGTGAGAGATAGGCCTGGATGGACCCCTGGCTTGGCACTAGATCACAGCAAAGCAGGGCTGGAAGGGGCCTCACAAGGGCACGTGTAGTCCAGCCCCCTGCTCAAGGCTACATCATCCCTGACTGGAGGTGGGGAGTGGGGTATTTGAGAGACAGTACCCCTCATAATTTGAAGGTTTGCATTCATGGTTTTTAACTCTATCAATTTTGCACATTCCATCTAATAAGCCAGAATTTTAAGGATCCTGGGAGTCGGTCATTTGTAGCCAACAACCCCCTCCCCCGCCCATGGGCTTCGCTGTAGCCATGCTGCCCACAGGGGAGGGGGAGGCAGGCTCCAAGCTCTGCTCTGCTGCAGCAGCCACTGCCTCCCGCAGGTGGCCCCCAGGGCTTGGGCGCTGCTGTGGGGGGCAAGGGCTGTGGACCTAGGTCCCTGGCCCTGTAGCCCTGACAGCTGTGGGCCCCCTCCAGCAGGCCTGGGGGGCAAGGGGGCTGTGGGTAGGGAGTGAGGGCACCAGCATGGTCCAGGGGGCTGTGGGTGGCGAGCAACAGATTTGGGGGATTTTAATCAGAAAACTTGTGATTTTTAAACAGAGGAAACCAGGATCCCTGCTCATCAGTCTCATCTCCCAGGCTCCTGATCATTCGTGCCCCTGAGCTGGACTTTTTCCATCTCTCCACATCCTTCTTCAAGTGCAGGGCCAAAAACACATCTGGAGAACCCAGGTGTCCAGAGGCGGGCGCTGCGATGGGCAGCCAACACACAACAGCTCCCATCTGCCCACTTCAAGACATGTGGGTTCTCTCCCCGCATCCAGGCCTAGGGGCCTCAGGGGCTCATGGGACAGTGGAGGCTTGGAAGTAGCCCCCCCTCCCCCGCATACACACACCCTTAGTGTCTATGGTCATCCGTTAGGTAGAGGGGGCAAGGGGGCGCCATGTTGGGAAGGCTGAAAGCATCCACTCTAGCCATGCCTTTGGGGGCTTCTCTGCTTCTCTCCCAGGTGTCTCCCCCACCCCACTCATGTTGTGGAGGACCTGGTGTGGACACTCTTGCTCTCATTTGGTTCCACCAAACCATGTTGAAGAAGACTGTCGGCAGGAGTTGCTCTAGTCTGACACCGCCCGCTCCCAAGGTACGTGCCTAGGTGCCACTTCTGGGCTTGGAGGCTCCAGTGCCCAAGCAGGGGCCTGACTGGGAGGGGAGAGCACCAGGTCCCACCAGCGGGCAGGGGAGGGTATTTAAAGGGCCACACCCCAAAATAGGGTTGGGTCAAAGGTTATGGGGGGGGGGGGGCACCCATGGGAGCCAAGTTCATGCCAGGAACCCCAGCATCTAGGGAAGCCAGGTGTCTGAGTTGTAACTGTATTGGTCTAGAGCAGGCGTGTCCAACATACGGCCCGCGGTGCTGCGACAGGAAATGAAAGTAAACACGGTTTACTTTCGTTCCCACCCCGTGTCCCTCCCACAGCAGCTTCCTCATGGCTGCTGAAGGGCTGGGGAAGGGACAAGGTCCCCACACGCACCATGTTAGCTTGACATTGCCGACGCGGTGCGTGTGGGAAGAGGAGTAGCCGCGTGCCGCTCGGGACAGGATGGGCCCGGCCGGAGCAGCCGGGGCTCCGGATGCACTT